CTTGAGGTCATGATCCAGTGCTACTGACGTTGGTGGAGCCATCCCATCGGGCAACTCCTAGCCTCTAAGCGCAGAAAGGCTTGTCCTGGCCTGCCTTGGCCAGGACGCCGCACGGGTTTCTTCCGCTGTAGAACTACCCCCGTGACATCCTGGTGGCAAATTAAAACAATATGTGGGGAGTGGGGTTATTATATGGTTAATGGAACAAGGGATCGAGATGTTCCACATGTAGGACTGGAATGAGTACTGTTGGAATTGAACCAAATCCGATCTATTTTGTCTAATTAAAGTCAGAAGTCAATAGCCCAGATTGTCTAGTCTCTGGGGAGCAAGCCAAGGCTCTATAGGTTGCTTGCTCATCTTGATTGGCCTTGCCACTTTTCAATATACAGTAAGTTGGCAACGAACCCCAAGTTCCACAAAAGGTCAAGTCTTTCCCACAACCAAATATTCTTCATTCTTCTTTATTTACTACTATTAACCATTCAGATGCGGTATGTATGGGTTTTGATCATAATTCACCGGGGGAGGGCGGGAGGTCAAAGCCCAACTTTCTGATGTCATCTCACAGTCTCAGAGAAAGCTGCTCGATCTCGAGTTTGGAATGAAGGAGCCCAATCCAAAGTAAAGATGGATGATGGATCCATGATCCACATCCATTGTCATTCTCTCTCTCTCCCTTCCGTGCAGTTCACTTACCACAACGGCCATTCTTACGTCAGCCTAGCTAGGCCACCATTTCTGGTAATTAAATCTAGGGAGAAGTACAAATCAGCCCAACTCAGAATTTACTAGGCCCAAAGTACAGGGGAATGCATCCTGACCGTGAATTAATGTTAAATTCACGGGCAGGATGTGATTTATAGGGAGAGACAGGGCTGGTTGTAGGGGGGCTGAAATTCAGAATTCTGCATCGTGTGTGTCTCTGTACTTTTCCCTTAAATCTATGATCGACGCCACCAAGATGTACACCGGAACCCCATTTATACTTTTACCTTTAGTTTGAGGATTAAGTATATCTTTGCCTTGTATTGTACTGCAAGTCTGCAATTAGTTTGATTTTTCATTTTTGTGTGAATTGTAAATGTAAGAAGGGCATACTAATAATATATAATAATTAATATACCTGGGAAACTTTGACCCAAGAATTTCCTTCTGTCCATACTTTCTCCACGTATAACCGTCATCAGGTGGAATCTCCGTATTTCCCATACGAGGTGTGGCTTCGTATCTTGTCTCTACACCATCCTTCCTGAACAAATATATAAATTAATGAATGCATGACTCACTCCAACATCCTTTTTTTTTTCTTTTAATTTCCCTTGTTGAATGTTGAATGAGTCGTCTTTAATTGAACATAACGATGAACATATTAACAGTACAACCCAATTACTAATTAAGTACCCAATACATCCTGAACCTGAAGAAAGAATCATTTGCAGTGCAGAGGAAAATGGAGGTGCGTTCACTTCACGTAGCCCCGACCAAGCATACATGCACAAAATGACAAGAAAACTGAGGTAAAACGATCCGAACTCATGAACCCGGCCCCTTTCAAATCCCTATCAAGGCATGAACTGAACTATATAGCCTATGGCAGACTTCTGCTAATGAATTACCTATATAATTTCCACCTCCACACCCACCAAAATTTCCATTAATTATTTAGTTTGTTGTTCCAAACACACACACACACGCGATACTGGACTGGATTAGAGTCACTAGACATCCTTTTAAATTCGCAATAAGTTTAAAACAATGGAAAGCTTCTCAAGGATTGTAAGTCCTAACCTCCTTCTTAATTTTTGAACCGCTGGATTCTTGCCGGAATCTGACTCTTCCGCTGCGTGTGTCTCTCCTCCGCTCTTCGACCGTGCAGAACCTTCGACCGTACTAACCCTACTCTCCGGCAGCAACACACGCCCGTCAAACGGGTTCCTGTCAGCAATGAATCGAGTCTGGACAAGATCCACTGCCTGTGGGTAACTTGTCCTGATCCATTCCTGGCCCTGCACACACGCATCAAGTGCCGGAGGTTGTTGGGGTTCACGGAAAACCAAGTGGAGATCGGAAGATGGGTTGTGAGGGTGCAGTCGATCCATTGCGGTCTTGAAGGCTTTGGCGATATCGTCACATGAGCTTGCGAGAAAAATTGGTTGGTTTGACAAGTTTGAAAGATTTGATTCAAGGTCTCTAGCCAACTTGCATCCATGGCGGATTAAAGACAAGGTCTCCTCCTCCATGGTTTGCACTGCACTAGTTGTTATAATGTACGTGGGTTTGGTGGGTGAATTTAGTTTGGCTTTGTTGCTTGTGTTTAAATTGGGAAGAAAATTAACGCTATAGTTTTTATTTTTCCAAAGGCAACAACCCTTTTTTCGGTGGTGGGTTTCGGGGTTCTTACCAGTTAATTACCTCTCTTCCTCTTTATGTTGAAAAAGAAAAAGTATATATTCAAAGTATTTGTGTCTGTTGAACACGGTACGAAGAAGAAACATTGGAAGGGACGACGACTTAGTCTTGGTCACCTTTGTTTTCTAAATAAGAGTCTACCTGTCTACGGGAAGACTTGGTTCCCATTGAAATTAATTAAGAGGCTTTGAACGTTGAAGAATCTGAATGGTCTCACCTATTACTTCTTCTTCTTCTTCTCTGGTTCCATTTTTTCTTGCAGTTAAGGATTCGCAAATTGATCATTAATCAACCAACGGACCCACCAACTCTTCCTGAACTACAAGTTTATTTTAATGGGAACGAATTTCATGTTTTGACTGGCCATGCCACGACTAGATCATAACTCATTGTCTTCGACCTCGATGCACCCATTGGCCATTCCAAGAAGCATCCACATTCATGGAGGGGCCTGCCCTTGCCCTAGCCCTACCTACGAGCCGCAACTGATGCTTAAAATTCTAAGAAATAAATCAATTGGGATTTGGGAATGTATATATAAACTGTTGAGGTCTACTAGCTGTTGCATTCCTTTCCAATTAATCAGGACTTTCAGCATTTAGCAATTATATACAGAACGTCATTTAATCTTCAAGGATCCCCCCTTTTTTTGAATCCCTGAGGACTGGAACTGTAACAACCCCTTGGCTCTCTAGTTATTCAAACTTTCAAAGTTCAAACCCAGATACCAGATGTGTTGAAAATTGAAATGAGCCTTTAACTCTAAATTACTGCGAAATGTATGTTAACCAAGGCATTCTTTGCATGCTGTGTACAACTCAAAAATGTAATTGGTTGAACATGATGATAAGTAAATACATCTTATAAAATTAAAGGTGAATCGAACCAATGAAAAATAAAGAAAATTTAATGTGAGTGATTAAGATGTAGATTTAACATACAGCAAATATTAATAAATGCACCTTAGCCCAACTCATGCTATCAATAAACATTTTAATTTTTTTTATGAAACTCATATATATATCAAAGCCAAACAGATGTTTGTTTAGCTTAATGGGTCCTAGCTTGTAGGAAAGGAATATGGTATGGGGAGTGGTCCAATCCATATCCAATTGATATCTCGTTTTAAAGGGTATAGCCCACGAACCCGTGGCGTCATCCATTTGGGCATCGATATCAGTGTATGTAATTATGCGGAAAGCAATTGGGCATCAGTGTGTGTGTAAGTATGGATGCCTCCAGCTGCCTCAAGAGTCAAGCCCTCAACTATAGTCTATAAAACCAAGTTTGATATACAAGTTGATACATATTAATGGTGAATGGGACCCACTATCTCTTTATTCACATCCAATATGTTATATCCAATGAATTCACAAATTACTTAGATTCGATCGGAGACATCAAATCAATCAACAAAAACAGTAAGGATCACAACCCACATTCTATGTATCAACGTCCGCCCATGAATTGAAATCAATTCTGACTTGTAATCTACACTAAAGTACTTTGAGCTTATAAACATCGGTCATTCTCCCAAACAGTAAAGGCAATTCTTGCTTTCTATTAAATAGCTAGGAACAATCAGGTTTACAAGTTGTCCCTTTCTGTGATTCTTGGGGCTCATTCGATCAAATCGAAGGGATTTGGTTTGAGTAGGGTGAACCACTCCCGGACCAATTATTTATCATTTTTATAAAATAGATTCAAACACAAATTAATTATTAATCGCCCAATTATACTTGGTATATATAATTACTTTTGATGTTATAACTTAGAATTTCATTTTTAATAAAATTTTATTGATAAAAGTGATAGTAAATAGTAAACTGTTTATATGTTGATAAAACATGTGTTTTTAACCAAAATTATCTTATATAGTGTTTATGAAATTTGCTCTTTTAATATGAATAAAAATTGGCTTCGAAAAAAAAAAATCAAGACCTTTATATATTATTAATAGCATAATCGGTTTGGTTCTTTGGGGCAAGATCAGATTAGCGCCCCTCAGAGAGTACCTCCCATTCGTGTATTAGCGCCCCTCAGGAGATGTACCAATGCACACTGATATGTGCATGTGGGGTGTCCTCTATGGAGTGCAATCTGATCTCCTTAGCCATTAACAGTTATATCGTGGGTAGCACAAGCATAGCTGAATTTACCCAATCAATAATTAAGGGCGATATCCTTGGACTTGGCAGGGCATGCACTCTAATCAATCTGCTCACAACAAAAACTATCCCTCCGAAGCTATAGGCTTAAAGTGCAAACACTCATAAATGTTATGAGTTCAGATCTACGCCCTAGAAGGGGGCGCCCCACAATGCCCCACAGCACATTTCCACCTTGTATTGGGAATATTTCTCGATGACAAGTATGAAGATGATTAGACATCATCAGGAGATGTTCCCAATACAAAATTAAGATGTGCTGTGGGGCATTCTGAGGCGCAGATGTGAACTCAAATGTTATGAAGCCATCTATCTAGATTCTGGCCAAAGGCATTGAGATTGTTAAAAAAACTGCGAATTTTCTTATAGAGGAATCCAACAGGCCAATTATACCATTAGTTCCCATCAACTTTTTTTTACGTGCTATAGAATTGATGGGTTCCCATGTTTTAGAACACAGTAACTATTATCTATTTAAATTGGCGATAAAGGCTTATAATTAATCCTCGAAGCCAAAACTGGAATACAGAATGAAGCACAAATTAGGGTTCGACTATGATATCAGAAAGGCGTCATATCTAAAATAACTTGTGACAATTATCTTATATCATAACTGTAATAACCAATGAAATGGTATTTATTAAAATTCATGAATGGATTTTAATTGGTCAAAACTCTTATGGTACCATATTTATTTTTTTGGGCATCATAGATTTCCCCACAAATTAACCCCCATACCTGAAAGTTTTGGGTTGCTAATTTCTACTACACCTCCTCTATAAATGTGCTTGAGTTGAGCTTGACATATATGATTCAGACTCCTGTATGTTATTGTAATCGCGACAATATTTGACATTTTAACTCAACTTAGCCTTAACCACAATCATAAATTAAATAAGTCAGTCAAGCTTCGAGAATTGTATTTGTATCTACAAAAATAACTGAGAAATTAAGATAGCAAACAAAGGATAAAGTTTCGTATTGTTTCACACTTTGAATTGATTAGGGAAGAATGCCATCTTAGAGAATTCTCCACAATTTTCCTTTTTCACATCCAAGTTTCTGATAAAAAATCTACTTGCTTCAGAGCATGGCTGCATGGGATAAGACAGCAAACCCACAAAACGGGGCAAAATGAAATATATAAGTAAATTACTTACTTATCTCAAACAGTCAAGGGAGAATCTCCTAATGGCTCAATGACCGTGTCAATTAAATTGGTCAAGGTTGTCTCTTTTGGATGTTAAAAGTTAAACAGAACTACCAATAATTGTTAAAATAAAAAAGCAATCTATGTATATATTAAAACAAGGAAATCTAGAAATTTTCTTCTTTTTTTAAATTTTTAAATTTTTTTAATCCATGTCATTTTTTAAACTAACAATTAGAAACTCTATTTTCCCTAAAAAAATCTTCCTAAAATCTCTCTCTCTCTTTCTCTCTCTCTCTCTCTCACACACACACATTCCAATAACCTAAAGAATCTAATTTTCTAAAATTTCTCTGTCCCCACAGGGGAAAATAATCCCTATCCCCTGGGGCGGATCCCCATGGGGATCGAAGAAATGGGGAAAATTGTCATTCCTAAGTTTGATAAACAATCCTATCTAAAATTAACTATTGTTATTTTTGTATTATAACAAAATATTAAAAATAATATATAAAATATAAATAATTATTGATTATTATATAAAACAATTGTATATTCTTACATATTTCTATTATTTATCATTTAACTTAACAAATCCAAATAGGTCCCGCTAGTAAATCAGTTGAAAAACAAAAACAAAAAAAATGAAAGTGATACCTTCGTTCTCTCTCTGGCTCTCATAACAGGCAGCGTTGTCTTTATGAAGGTAAGTATTTATAGATTCCCAAGAGGCCTTCTGCTTGACCTTCAGATACAGCAAGGACTCTGTCTGTTACCATTTGCCTCCTTACAGAGAGCTAAAACCTTCTGTAATGGAAAATATTTGTTAGTTGCTTCAATATTTTCTTTTCTGGACTTTCTAGTGCAGTCAAAATGATCTCTTGCTCTATTCCTTCTTCAGAATATTTATCCTTCGTTTGTAAAGCTGTGCTATGGTTGTTGATTTCGTTTTTCTAATTGTTTCTACAGAGATACGAGAAAATGCTCAAAATTACATTATAATTTTTAGAGAAAATAGTTTTGTTGATGAAGGACAACTAATGACTTTGTTTTGATATCAGGACTTTGAATACTTGGGGAATGGATTGATAAATAAGAGCACCCATTATCCAAGGAAGATACCATCTGTTGGAATCTTTCCCGTCGGCCGTAGCCAATACTATATGAATTTGTCTTATGCTTGAAAATTGGGCATATTTGCCAATACCATGGTTTCTCTTTTTGTAAGAAGTAGAATTATATTATCCCTTTCAAAACTAGACCGGAAACTGGACCGTTTGGCCACCAATTCTTGGGTCAAACAGTTTGATCGTCCCATCCAATCCCGGGTTAGACAGTTCTGGGGTCCAAAACCAGACCCAGACCCATGACCAGTTCCCAGATCAACCGGTCCAACCATCCGGTCTGATGTAGTCCAGTTTTCCAAATCATGTATGAAAAAGATGGAAGGCATTTTGCCTTTTTATTTGAGGGGAATGAGGTAGGAAGTAAATCGACGTGATCCCTATTATTTTATATGAAAGATAACTAAGCTAAGAGTAATTGGTGTAAATTTTGCTCCAGTTTTTTATATGCAAAATTTGCATTGCCATAAATGCAAATGAGACAAAAAGTATAAGTGTTGCATCAGGGGTATATGATCACAACTAAACCGGATGCAATATTTGTATCAAATTCAGATTTAAATTGCAAACATATGCAGAGGAACAAGACTACATTATGATTCTTTTCCTACTAGGTTTGATGAATTATCGAGGTTGATCATGAAGATGAAGTAATGACCGCTCCACCCATAGATATGGTTCCTACCCACCAGCAAGTGTTATAATAAGTTATTAATATATCATAGCACATTCAGCAAAAGGAACAAGGCTTGGCCATCTATAGCTCCTTAACCTTATGATTCTTTTCATACTAGGTTTGATGAATTATCGAGGTTGATCATTAAGATGAAGTAATGGCCACTCCACCCATCCATATAGTTCCTACCCACCAGCATATGTTGTAATATATTAATACACAGACTAGGTGTCCTACGAAATGCCTGTTTATGTTCTGATTTACTTTTAAACTTGCTTCTGTTTCCAAAAGCAGAAACAAATTAGTTTTATTTTGAAAAACAATTCGTGTCTTATACACACCATCAGAATAATGGTTTCTAAAAGCAAATTATTTTTGTTTGTTTCTAAAAACAATTCATGTTAGTGGGATCTATGACTCGTTGGAGCTGAAACCTACGATCAAATCTCGTTGTCACCAAAGTTGGGGCTAAAGGGATGGGCAATGGGCCACACCAGAAAGAGCGTAACAGTACTTTGTTTTTTTGGAACAAAAAACATATATATATATATAAGCAAGGTTCAAAGTATTGATACACACCTAAAGTCTAGTCAAAAGAGAATTTTGCATTGACTAATTTGGAATTCGGATAGGACCAGGCAGTTATAGACTTTCATTTCAGATTTCTGGAGTATTTAGTCCGCATTTTCCTACCATCTCATTCCCCTCTTACAGTCAAATTCTAATATTTCTCCAAACAAGCATTCTAAACATTTCCTATTAAGAATAACGAACAAGTCGGTCAAAGCCAAATGCGGGGAATGTTGATAAGTATCTGGTCAATCAAAGAACCAAGCCTCGTACAGAACAAACCAAACTTGACGTCTTATTGATAATCCTAGAAACTGGATGTATGATTCAGGGCAGGCTGTATGTAGAGCTGACATATATGTAGTTATGATATAATATACTAATACACATTAATTTTTCTATATAATTTTTGTAACTTTGATCATAAAATTGGATTAAAATTTTTTATTTTTTAAAAACATAAATATTTTTAATTGATATGGGCCAGTCCGTATGTTCAACCCGGTCAAGGACCAGGCCCGAGCATTCATTATCAGAGAAAGAATTAGCTGAACGTTGTAGCTGTTCAGCAGACTGTGGAATCAATAATAACACTTAACATCAATCACAAAATACATGGGGATTCAACCTTTCATGTATTTTATCACTGTTCCACAACCTGCTATACAGCTAAGGAGTTCATCTAATCCAAATCCACATTTATCACTAATTGTAAACAGTTCATACCCTGTAAAAACCCTCCTAACCCACGACCATCAACAATTGTAGAAATAAAATTTTACACTGTCAATCATTATATTGTTCGAAGAGGACTGTTGCTACACTGCACTTATTCAATCAGTGACAAGAATCGCAATAATGATCGCAACAGAAGTGAAATGATTTGCAGACTGGATGCAGTCATCCGAGCAGATCTTCAAATAAATAAAAAATTAAAAAATTATTTACCATTTAACTAAACTAATACAAAAATAATAAATTTATGCAAATATAAAATATTAAATTTATCTATCATAAAGTAAATTACAGACTGCCACCCTGTAATTTTCGGGGTAATGACACCCCCTAAATTTCCATTTGTAAGAATGTGCATTGAAATTCTGTATTCTTTATGTAAATTTCTCTGTACTTCTCTTTTTCTATCTACAATTTTCTGTTTTCTTGTTTCTATTTTCACTTCCTTTTTTGCTGTTTTCCTTTTTGCAATTTTCAATGTTTTCTGTGTATTAATTTGTCTTATCTTCTGAAATTTTATAGTTTTGTATTTGCTTTATTTTCCTCCTCTTTCAGTGTTGTTGCATTTCCTATATTTTCTACTATTTGTTACTTTTCCATTATTTTTTTATTTCATCATTTTTTTTTCAAAATTGCCTCATAATATGTTATTAAAGCAGGTTGGGGTTTTAGAACTGTTTAAACATGCACTTAAACAGTCACATAAGAATGTGGGGACAAGCAAGGTTCAAAGCATCAACATGTATCGGCCTGTATTGGCCGATAAGTATCATTCCGGGACCCCTCCGACCCACCCAAGGTCTGACTGATTCAGGGGGTAGAGGAGACCTAAACCACCCCCCCTGGACCAGTTGCAAAAAATATAAAAAATAAAAACAACCAAAATGTGTATCAATTCACCCAATATGCCTCTACCGGCATATCAGGCATATCGATATTTTGAACCTTGGGGGCAAAGTATTGGAATCGAAAAAAGTTCAGAGGGTGTCTTTATCATTAACGGAAGTAGATGGGCTTAAAAGTGTCACTATCCCCAATTTACAGAGTAGCGATCTGTAATCTATACTTGATTCTAATCAGACTTGATCTTTAGAGTTGTCAATGGGTGGAGCTGTGATTTTGTAGCTTCGTTCCAATTAATAATTGGGTAGTAACGGAATTTTACCGTTCCAAAATGATTCAAATCCAATCCAATTGTGCAACTAATAATAAATATCTCTTGGTTCTTTTGTAATTTTTATCATACTTGTCTAAAAGTGTAAATTTCCATAAACAGTATATAAGATAATTATGGTAAAAAAACTTATTTTATCAACATATAAACAGTTTAGTATTTGACCATCAATTTGGTTATACTATAAAAATGAATTTCTTAGTTATTAACTTATTATGTCAAGCATAATCAAGTCTAATTGGGTCAGGTCCGATTTAACCGATAAATAATTGATTCGGTTCTAGATCTTTCTCATAATCACGATTAATAATCAGACCGGGACTGGCATTGCCTTGTCCGGGCTTTCTCCATTGCCAGGACCAGGAGTTGTGTATAAAGATGTAACGGCACGTCAACTTCATGCAAGTGACCATGTGCAGACGATTCGACCAACAATAATTTAAGATTTGTAATACCGTGCGAATTCTATTGGCAACATACCACTAGTTAATTGTGGGGGGGGGGGGGGGGGCTCACTAGAAGAATATTTCAAAATTCGGGATTAAATCAGTATTTATTCAACACAGGGTCCCCCCTCATGAGGGAGAAGCCCGAGAACCTATTTAACAGATGGGACCTATATTTATGTATCAAATATGTCCCTCTGTTCCCAAACCACTGGTGGAAAGTTCTTCAACATGTTGAGGACCCCTAACTGGATTAGGACCCATAGGAAAACCATCCTTACAGGATTACCTGAACCATTTAAATGATAGGGCATTGCCAAAAGCCTTTTAACAGAAACCAAAAGATGCCTTTCTACAGGGAGTCCAGTCTTGCTCAAGCACTTTCTTTGTCAATGCAGAATTCATGGTTGTTAAAACAGCCTTTTCCAAGCACATTGACGAAAGTTGCACTATGATATTAGTGACAACATGTATTGACTACAAGCCACTCACACAATCTTTGAAGCAAGAAGCTTAGTAGTCCATGCTATATGCTGACTACGTTAATGATAAAGCAACAAAAAAAAGAGGATCAAAGTGAACTTACAGGAAACTTCCTTTTATACTCGTTTTTGAGGCCCAAGCCATGAGCCATATACCTATAAATGTGTATGATCATCAATAAATGATTTATGGTACCACTAAAACAAGGTAACTTCCATAGAAGGCGAACTTCATGAAAGTTAGTTTTAATGAACCAGTACATAAAAACAGGGCGAAACTGGTAGAGAATAAAAGTTTCATGTATCTTACCTACTAAGCTAGTAATTGATCCTTGAACATGAATCATCAAAGGCATCATGGAAGCATAAAAGCAAAATGTAGGAATTTTGTCCATCAGTCATCCCAAGCATCATCCGCTGCACCCTCTTTCTTGATGTTTGTGGGGGCAAGCATATATCTATACTTGTCTTCAATGTTTATTGATGTAGGGCCCGTCATTGAGAGTCTAGACAGTGCAAGTCTTGCTTCTTTCTGTGCAGCTGCTGCTTCCCTTTCTTTCCTCCTAGCAACCTAAAACCCAACACCCGTGAAAAGTTTTACAGAATCCATAAAGTGCCAACAAGAAACCACCAATATACAAACAGATTTATAAAATTATCACTTAGTACAAACATCCAGGAACTGCAACTACATCTGAAACTAATGCAAGCCCAACCTAAGCCCTACAAAACTCAACATGAGCTTTTACATGGGTTGGGCTTTGATTGTCAGGCCCTGGGCTAGCTTGGGCTTGGGCCTGCAAGGTTAGGCTTGCACCAAAGCCAGGTTGAGCATGGATAGCCTGAACCAGACCCGACTGACCAACCGACCTGAGGCAGGTTGAGCATGGATGTCCAAATTTTTAATGTTTAGCGAATGTACATTAATCATTGTAATTTAATAAATTTTCATTAAATTTTTACAACAATTATTTATTCATAAAAGATATTACTAATTGGCATAATTTACTAATTTCTATAAAGTCAATAATTATAGTTAACAATTATCAAATAATTCAGGGAAACTCTTCAACTAATAATCCATAATTTTCAAATAAATAATAATAAAAAAATTAGGAAATTAATCTATGAAAAATATTCTCCAAAACTATTTAAATAATAGTCTATTATTATTCAACTAAATAATTATTAAAAACTTAGGAAAATTAAATTAGAAAATACCCCCAAATAATTATTATTCAACTAAATAATTATTAATCTATTTAAATAATATTCTTATAATCTTAGGATCCCACAATTCCATTTATAAAATACCCCCCCCCCAAATTCCAATAATCCTATTTGTAAAATATCCACAAATTAAATTATTTTTAGGTGGTTGCCTTGGGTGGGGAAATTTGGGATTTCCCATCCCTGACAGGGAATGGGTGCCTTGCCTCGAACCCGCCCCACCACCGGGGACGAGGTGGGGATGGGCAGAGTGTCTTGACTACAGGGGTGAGGGACTGGGAGGAGTGCCACATCCCGTGCATTGCACAGGGCCCTGCTAGTTATGTAAAGATATTTGTATACCTGCTCATTACCAAGTCCCCCTAAGCTCATCTTGAATAATTGGGTTTAGCTCAGGCTTGGCTTGGGTTGAGAAACTCAGGCTTTGACATAAAGTTGGCCCGTCCCTAGCCCAATATCCAGGCCTTTTAGGATTCAGACCAGGTTGTCCCAAAGTCTGGCCAAACTTGCCCAGGTTGCACCACTAACTGCAGAAGATTAAAAACAAAAAAAAAAGTAATGAAAACTTTTTTATGTTCAAACTACATTACCTTCCCAGTTGCAAATGCCACAGTATTGCCAGATTCCACATCTGCAATTGCTTTCCTTATATGTGCTACAAGGAACTGCAAACACCAATGTACCAAACAATAATGAAAAAAAGGTTTACAGACCACTAGTGGGAGGAAATGAGGGGCTATGAAATGAGAAAATAATGACAAAAAATAAACCATGTCACGATCAGTGTAGAATGAAGTAGCTTGGCCTGTTGACCCTGCACGCCCTGTCCTTCCAATCCGGTGAACATAATCCTCCATTGTCTAAAACCCAAGCCAGATGAGAAATTTCAAGCATTAATTATTTCATTAGCACATTAATGAAGTAATTTGATTCAGAATCACAAGCTTGGCAATAGTTGATAATGAGCATGATGTTTCTGAAGTAAATTGATTCAGAATCACAAGCTTTAATGAATAATAAGACTGCCACCAAAGCAAAATGTACCTTTGGAAGATCCAGATTAACAACATGGGCCACTCCTGTGACATCCAAGCCACGAGATGCAACATCAGTAGCAACCTGGACACAAAGCTTATGAAATGAGTTAATGCTATGTAATACCTCTTGGGTCACAGGCCTGTAAATAGTGCAAGTTTCAACCAGCTTCATCTAGCAGTTTAGACAGAGAAGAATAAGAATTTTACCAGGATATTGGTAGAACCAGTTCTAAAATCACGAAGAGCTGACTCCCTTTCACTTTGGCTGCGGCCACCATGAAGAGCAACCGCATGCAAACCTTGTGCTACCAATGCTTCAGTGACTTCATCACACCTCGTCTAAAGGATGACTCAGAATTTAACAATCACAATTCACAAGACAATCATAGCAAAAGTACAGTATGTTCTTTAGAAAATTCAAGAATATCAAAATCCAAAAAAAAAAAAAAAACTTAAGAAGTAATACTTGCATGTTTAACAGGACCAACATTGCCGGACTCAGACCTGACTGTATGGGCAGACCGTTCACAATGGCAGCCAAAATGGTTTTAGGTAACCTGGTTCTTAACATGTTCATTTGGTCAAACTAACCCTGAATAAATGTGTTAATAGGTGTTACAGCCTGTAACATTTATTGCTTTAAGCATACTTTGATGTATAATTGCTTTAAAAGAAAATATGAAACCATTAATGTTTTTTTTTTGCAATCAAACCAGATGATCAGACCGTTCAACCTATGTCCCAGTGGCCAAAATGGTTTTTTTTTATAATTGAAGATGAATTTTATTAAGACAATATGAGAACTGTGACAATTATATTACCGAGAGGCATGAGGTGCGACCTCCCTTAAAGAGTGAAAATCACATAGCACTATAGACCAAGACTACAAGGTAGCCTGTAGCCCAGTACAAATGTTCACTCAAAACCCCTTGTTTAGCAAAAGATAATCTGCCATAGTGCTTGCAGACCTGCCAACCCACTGTATACTATCATTAATGTTTCTTAATAACCAGCTGGCCTTCTTTGAGAGGTTCTTGTAGCACCAAATGACTGAGCTCAGATCTGTTAACCAATCTACAGCAATTTTGGAGTCACCTTCAATTTGAAGGTTCTCAACACCAAGTTGATTAGCAATCTGAATACCTTGTAAAGCTGACAACAACTCAGCCCTATTTGAGTCTCCCATTCCCACTGGACCTGAGTACAAGGCTAAGATATTACCATCCTTATATCTCAAAATCCCTCCTATACCTGAGGGGCCAGGATTGCCTTGATTGCTTCCATCAAAATTCAGTTTTACACAACCTTCCAGCGGCAGAGCCCCCACACTATAGAAGTCTGTTCCTTCTTGAGGGAGCTATTAGCCACCTCTATCCAGTTCCTTCTAAAGTAACCAAAGGAGAACAAATAGAAAAATTCTGAAGTTCTCAACCAATGAGTTGCCCTTGTTAAGATACACTCTTTGAAATTCGGAGGCTTTGTTCCTTTTCTCGAAAACTTCTTGCATTTCTTTCCTCCCAAATTCTCCAAAGTGTGGCTGCTCTAATACATTTCCACATAATCCTCCCTCTTTTTGTGGGCCATACAAAGACCAACGGATCAAAAAGCAGACTTACATCAGTGGGTAAATTCCACTTGCAACCAAAATAAGGCAAAAATCCAATCCCAAATAGCAACAGCAAAGGAGCAGGAAATTAGTAAGTGGAAGCAGTCCTCACCATTAGCTTTGCAAAGAATACACCAGCTAGGGGACAAGCACATAAAAGGCTTCTTTTTTTGTAGGCTGTCTAGAGTATTGATTTTCCCATAAAACACTTCCCAACAAAACAAGATAATTTTGGGGGGAACAGGCTTAGCCCAAAGCACCTTTACCGGAAAAACCAACTGAGGGGAGGAAGAACAGAGAGCTTTCAAAAAGGAGGCACAAGAAAAGGAGCCTTTTGGGTGGGGGGACCCAAATCCTCTTGTCTGGCAATAAAGGATCCAAACAAACATTATCAAGAATCAAAGAAGTTGAGAAACATCACCAAGTTCAACATCCCTCAAGCCCCAATGGAAGCCAAAATCCCAATTCAATGACAAAGGCAAAAAGGGGGGTGGGAAGGAATTTAGAGACAGCCTTATTATTAAACAAGGAAATAGAGTAAAGAGAAGGAAAAAGGCCTTTTAAGGATGAATTTCCCACCCACACATCTTCTCGAAAGAGAACAGAATTCCTTGAGCAAAAATCATACCTGGCAAAATTAAGAAATTAGGGAAGGATGCTATGAATAGCTTTCCAAGGAGTTGTCAACGTAGCTTGTCAAGAAACACCAGCATCCCATCCATTATTTGAGTGACCATGAATACTAACTATCACCTCATGCCACAACCTCCCTCTTTCCAAGGGCCATTCACAGCCACTTACCTAACAAGTTTGTATTCTTCAAGACCATTTTTTTATCAATAACAGAAACTTATGTTAATAAAATAAACATGATTACATACAGAACTCTAGGGAAGATAAAATGACTTACCAAATAGTTTTGGGAATCCAGGGCCGTCTGGAATTGGAGGGGTTTTAAGAAATGAAAGCGGAGTGATCATGGGTATGTACTCAGGCCCCATTGGAGTGTGTGACTCTGTAACAGCAGAACTGAATGCAGTAATTTATGGGATGCAGAAATCTATGGAAATGGGGATACGAAAGCAAATAGTTGAAGGTGACTCCAAAATAGTAATAAGTTGGCTAAAACAGAATGAGAAGGTTTCTTGGTTTTTCAGAAACAAAATCAAACAATTCAAGAGGTTCTCAAGGGATATGCAGCTGATAATTCAATGGACTCCTAGGTCAGCAAATGGTCTAGCTGACCAACTAGCAAAGCAAGGGGTAAATAGGGCAGTGTGCTTCTGGGCTCAGTTGCAAGACTGAATATTAAATTGTCTCTGTATTTTATTGGTGGTAGCCGAGGCTGCCCTTGTTTCTGTACTCTCTTCTTATTCTAAGTAATAAAATTTGATGTTGATTGCTCATTAAAAAAATGATAAAATGACTTATCTTCCCCCAAAGAACCCAAAGAGAAAATTAGAAAATTACAGAGTAGCCCAAAATAATTGCCTCCTTCCCACCCCCTACTTCGCCAGTTCTCTTTACCCATTGAAATGAATTTCCAAGCCCCTAGTTAACCACTTAACTTCTCTTCTCTCATTAGCATACATCCAAAGTCCACAATCCTTCCTTAACCAGTTTAATACTAGTTGGGAATCTCCTTCAACAATCAGCTTTTGAACATTCAACTCTTTTGCCTTCCCCAAACCTTCTATTAAGGCTAACATTTCAGCTATAAGAGAGTCACCCCTTCCAATGGGGCCTGAGAACAATGCAACCACTTTCCCATTCTCGTCTCTGAATATGCCTCCTACACCTGAAGATCCTGGGTTACCCTCGCTGCTCCCATCAAAGTTTAACTTCACAAATCCTTGGGTAGGTGGAGACCAAAGGGGCCACACTGATGAGTGAGCTGGTGCGAAGGATGCCACTTCCTTCCAACTATTAAGCAACATACCCATAGAAAAGGTCCTTAGGTTCCTTTCTTCCCACAGAGTCCAGCATATGGTAGCTCTCACACATCTCCACATGATTTTACCTCTTTTCTTAGACCACCTAAAGAACGAAGCAGAAAATCTTCAAGACCAAATTTCCTATCCCCAATCCACCTTCTTCCTTACTTCTACACTATATCCCACCTTATTAAGTGATCCTTCTTCTCTTCCCTTAGCTCCAATAGGGGTGAATTATTTCAGTATTTTTTAAGAAGTGTAAGACCCTCAGTAAAGGTAGAGGTGTGATTGGAGTTCGAAGGGGGAGAAAAGAGAGAAGGTATGCAAGGTTTGAGCCCTTTTTCTTTTTCCAAGTTGAGCCAGAAGAGTAGGGGTTTTATCGTTGATTCTCAGGAAGGATTTTTAGAGGGGGTGGAGACGGGAGATGGGGATGTGAGTGAAGTTAGGGTGGAGGCAGTGGAAGAGATGGTGAACAGTGATCTCAAGGACAAGGAGGGAGGTGGCATAAAAGGAGGCGGGGGTAACAAGGTGAGTGACTTGGAAAACATGAACCAAGACGCTTGAATTGGGGGTGACTCCAACTTTTCGGTATCTGAAGTGGTTGTTGGAAAATTGGGAAATGATTTGGGCCACAGGGGGAAGGAGACTATTTTGGCTGGAAGTGGTGATGTTCTGGAGGTTCCAAAGAAGTCTAGAGATCCAAGCAAGTTTAACGTGGTTCATGTTATGAAGGTCTTTTCAAGGCTAAAAGATGGCTTGCTAGGGGTATGGCTGACCAACAAGTATAAAAAGGATATATAAAAGAAGAGGGGTAAAATTGAAGGCTCATAGTCTTGAAGATCTTCACATGGAAAATCGATTTTTACACAAGGGAGTTGGGAAGATAATTCTTCCAGTGCATTCTCAATGGAAGTCAAAAAAAAAAATGGCATGTCAAAGAAGGCTAGTGGGGATGGAAATGAAATTGAAGAGACCTTTGTTGAGGCACTGCCGGATGAGCAGGAGATGAAGAAAGGAAGCTTGGATTTGCTAGAAGTGCTTTGAGCGTTCAATAGGTAGAGGAAGGAAGAAAGTATGAGGAAAGCTTCTGACGCATTAGGGAGATAAATTTGGGATGAGGAAGGAGGCCTGGAAGAGTTTGGTGAGGTGGAAGATTGTTGTGTTGTGGTTGTTGTGCAAGAGTGGTTTCAATTCTTGTTTCTCTCCTTGTTTGCTGTTTTGGGTGGTTTGGTAGGAGTTTTTGTAGGGTTTGGGGGGGGGGGGGGGGTTATCTTAACACCTACCTTTAGGTTGTATTCAGTATTTTCTTTTCTTTAATATAATTTTCTTTTTTACATTTCCAAAAAAAAGGTTCCACCAAAGCTCACCTTAACCCATATGCCTAAAATGCCTTTAAAAACATGTAATTGTCGTACACACACTTGTGCACATTTGTGTGAGTGAGTGAGTGTGTGTGTGTGGGTGTGTGAGAGAGAGAGAGAGAATACAGACAGTATATTATGTGTTTGTATTCCTAAAGCTTGCTATGTGCGTAACTGCGTATAAATGCATATACAACATATTCAAATAAGGTAATTCCATTTGAACTAGAAAATAGTACAAAGACAAATATAAATTAAGATTTTTTCCGTAATATATCTATATCAAGTTTCACAAATGTTGAGCAAAAATGTGTTTTAACAAGAGATCCTTGTTAGCTAACTTGTGCTTAAAAGATGCAGAAAGAAATTCTAATGCATACTGGAGCATAATACCTTCCTTTCAACAAAAACAATGGTTAGGGGTAAGGAATGGCCAGATCTTTCAGCTTGAGATGCCTCTTCTACAAGCAAAGCCAAGAGTCGATCAATCTGCAATACATTTTAAGCTGTTACAACCATAACTAGTAAGCGATCTATTACCACAATTTATTAAAAATTCTGCCCACATAGGCATAATGAGATGTCCTTCAAAACAAAACTAACTAAGCAAAAGCAAGCAGTTGGATCATTCCAAAGGAACTGCCAATAAGGAATTCGAGGGAGAACTAGAGAAACACTGATAAAAAAAGAAAACTAGAGAAATCACATATAAAAGGCAACTTCCTAAGTGATGCTACCGAAATTTGAATTCGAATTCAATCTGGTTAAGGGTGATCCAAATTCAATCTGCTTATAATTGGAATACATATGAAACCCTTATCTGATCCAATATGATTCAATTTTAAAAAATAGGCTTATATATTCTTAAAATTTATATTGTATCTATTAGTAAAATTGGTCTGAATGTTGCACTTTTGAGTCATGTGTTCAAGTTTCATACAAGTAATTTTCAATTCGTTTTGCTTATGATATACAGATCAAAGTCCTTTTATTTCGTTTTACTAATAATGTAAAATATTTTGACCATTTTTCGTTTAATTCATGCTAATCAATATCAGATTGCAATCCAAATCCAATCTGAAACAAATATAAATCTGACAGATAAAATTCAATTCATATCCAAATATTAATGAATCGAATTTGGATCTAGGTATATCCAATTTGATTTGATCTGATTGCAACAAGATGGGATTTGAGTCTTTATATTTCTTAGTTTCTCAGAGCTGTTTATGTTTGCTTTGTTTAGATGTGGGTATGTAGAGTTATTTTAAGTGTCTTAGTCCATACTTGTATGTATGTATGAACCTCTCCTACATACAGACAGCCAACCTTTCTGAATTCTTTAATCTTTATCGAATAGAGGTGTATCCAGGCAGCAGCAACCATTGGCAGTCCAATATGGCTACTTAGAAACTTGCCCATTCCACATCTTTATACCCAAGCTAGGACTTCCATCCACTTCCAAACACCAAACACCATATACAAAGATTGATCTTAAGTATTGACACAGCTTCAAAGCAAATAGAAGGATAAAGCTATGGTACCTAGGTTCTAATGAGAGGTTTCACAGAGCAGATAATCATCTGCAAATTGCAGAAGCAAAACGGATGCACTTCGCCACCATTTGGTTAGGTAATGTAAGGTTCTAATGAGAGGCTACTCATAGCAGATGATCCTCTGCAAATTGCAGAAGTAAAAAGATGTACCTCACCACGTATTTATAATCCTACAATAATAGCAGATGATCCTCTGCTTGCTGACCATGTTGCTCAAGGACACTCTATCAAAATGATAAAGGGGAAGAGAAAGACGGAATTAGAGTCAACCTTCAGAAACATCCATTAATCCCACAAACAAACCAAGGTAGGTCTGAATTCAAACAATACCCTATAAAATATGACAGTGATTCTGAGAGGAAACAACAGTTAAGAATTAAATGAAAATCCCTCACAAATAATTGAAGCATGATAATAATATTGCCTTGCACTAGATGATGGACTTGGATATAACAGAAAAATGACAGGTTAATCCAACTCCAATAAGCACTATCCCAACAACATGGGGTTGACATAACTGGTTGCAAAAGGAAGAAGATGGACTGTGGAATTACAGCAATGAACAGAAGAAATTTAAATGGTTGACATGAGATACGAATTTGAGGGATAGTTAGGTTAAAAGAACAGCTAATAGTTTTGCTGATGCTTTGGCAAAACAATGGGTGGGAAGAAATCAATTGTTTTGGGCTCAATTGTAACTGTACTTTTAATATTGGGGAGAGTTAAGAGTTTTTACCTCTCCTCTGCAATTTGTTTATTCTGTTTTAATGAAATTTGAAGTTATTGATCAAAAAAATATTAACAGAAAAAAAAGACAGTTAAACCAAAACAGAGGAGCAAATCAAATGCCTAGCATTTACATTAAACAGACAAATGAAAGTTAAACCAAAATAGAGGAGCAAATCAAGTGCCAAGAAAAAGAATATTCTGTTACTGGTTTACCACTACATTGGATGTTGAAACAGAACTGCAAAATTAATAATTTCCAAACAAATGTCAATATAAGCATACCTTCTCACTTTCAACAACCTTCTCCAATATTTGAGATACATTCGCTGTTGGGCTGCTTACTTTCCCCACTTTAACTTGCACAGGGTTAGTAAGGTACTCCTAGAAATTGCACCACCAAGGGTCCGATCAACAAGAAATTTGCATGATGTTTCTTAACAGTTTCAGTTTAAATGAAACAGTCATGATTCATGTAGGCGCAGTAGTTATAAGGACAAATATAGAAAGTTCTTGACAAATACAGTAAATAACAAGAAAACAATATCAAAACACCCAATCTCTTCTAATAACATTTGAAAGCATAAAGCTATGTAGGAATTGATAAATTGACCAAAAGTATCAAGGGATTGAACATCAAATTCAAACTCAACTACTCAATAGCCATATCTAATCATCAAAAAACATAAACCCATCTTCAAAGTTCAACCTGTGGATGTCAGAAGAACTTAAGGATCTTATTAAACGTGGTTGAGTATCAGGTTTCTAAGTTTTATGTCACTAGTTGAAATTTGAAAGACAGAATACCAGTCCATAAAAACCATTATATTGAGAAATCCCTCCAAAAGTAAACATAGCATCAACTTTCTGAGCGTGAAGAGTACAAAATCTCCTCTATCAACAACTTTAGGCACACATTTTTGACCTACCACTAAGAATGAGATATAAGGTTCATGCTCACAAGTTGCAATTATCAGTTCATTTTTTATAGCTCAGAAAGTCTTTAAAGACAACATTTTTATTAAGTATTTTTTGTTGAATCAGAAATGCAAGTTTTCATTTAAAACTCCCATCCTAGGACCCCCCCAAGGTAACATTCACAATGGAATGTTTGCTGGGTTTCTAAGAGGAAGCAATCCTAGAAGACTCGCATCTTCCACCATATCTCAAGTCATGCAACACTACATTTTCTCATACTACAAAACACAAACTGGATGATTAATTTTTGCATCTGATCAGCAAATGCAATTCCAAAGGTGTATGTTCTCTATGTCAATAAATTGTGATTAAAGAAACTATTAATTGCAAAACTGTTCAGTGTTACCTGTGCAAGTGCTTCAATCTCCACTGGCATGGTTGCACTAAACAACAAAGTTTGATGTTTTTTTGGAAGATTTCGCATAACCTGAGACGAAATCAGATCATCAAAAACTCAAATGATTCATAGGCCCTGTATCGGATATGACATGAGGTAAAGAGGAAGCTAGAAAATACAGGAGGAAGTAGAGACAAACTGTGCTCCTTGACATAATAGCACATGCCAGTATTTGCAACCAATACTGATACAAGGAGTTCAAATTCAGATAAAATAAAAAATTAAAACAAAAAATAAAATATGCAAATTTAAGCACATAATAGGAACACCTGAGAAGTGTAACCATATAGCACTTCATTTAACAATGTTTTATTTCTTTACATAAACCCTACTAGAGATGTTTCCAAGGGAACTAGATACATTTTAACATTCAATTTAAGGCTTCTATCAAAACTAAGCCCAAGCTTATAATCATTAAACATGCAAGGAACTATACAAGTACACAAGTTATCATGTAAATACATTAAAAACCAATTGAACCTAGTCCACGTGTCAAAAAATCACTCTAATCTTATCCTCGCCTTCAGTTTAAATAGAAGCATCAATCCCATCATTGGACGGTATACAAAGTATTCCTCCAAAAGAAAATATGAGATAAATAATATTTAACTTAGAATCTCTCCGAAATGATCTTGGTGCTTTGAGTGTGTATCAATTGCATATGATGCATTGAATTGCATGGTTGCACAAACAAGTTTGAAATGAACTTTTCCAACACCATTTCAGACTATACAGAACTAAGCAACAACTTATTAAAAGTTCAACTAAGGAAAAGGAAAGAGAATTAACAAGCAGGCAAAGAAAGCACATGAAACAAATATGTGTGTGAACCAAAGCAAGCTAGGGCCCCAAATAGATCCAACTCCCCCATTCAAGGTTGGTAAGAGAATGATAGTAGTGAATTATCAAAAGAAAACAATAATGATAGTAGTACCATAACTGTGGAGCAGTAGGAAGAAGCATTCTTGTACAATAAAAAATTATTTTCTTTTTATAAATAACAAATACCACCTATTAAAATCGAAAGATAAGAAGGTAAAGCAATAACAATTTCCGATGTATAAAGAAGACCTCGATATCTCTCTTTAGCTAGAGGGTAGGCTACTTTTTTTTATGGGGGGGGGGGTAGCTAGAGGTATAACAATAGAGCCCATTTGGTTCATGGGAACAGGGGTCTGGAATCGGAATTGGAATGGCTATTCCGATTCCAACTCTTTGGTTGGGCGGGATTGGAATGACATTCCCTCATTCATTTGAGGGAATGGCCATTCCCTCCCCCTCCCTTGGGAATGAAATTCCATTCCAGCTGATTTCAATTCCCATTCCCATTCCTGTCTGATCCAAACAGACTATGCGAATAGACCATTCCGATTCCGACTGTGAACCAGACGGACCCTTAATTTTTTTCACAATATTTGTCTTTTGTCAGTATCAACAAGGATCAGTATGTTAGATTACCTCTCTTATTTGTGGTTCAAACCCCATGTCCAGCATTCTGTCAGCCTCATCTAAAACAACAAATGAAATCCTAGAGAGGGATGTGTTTCCTTGTTGCAAATGGTCAATAAATCTTCCAGGTGTAGCAACCACAATATTTACTCCTGCTCGTAGTTCGGATCTCTGTCATAGAATTCATAAACACAAGTAAATATATTAGAGATAAACTAGTTGGTAACAAATCTTTCCAAGACAATTCAAAGAAGAACCAACTTGATGCAACATGGGAGAAATATTGAGTACATTTGTACATATTACTACAAAAAAAGAGCTCTTCTTTTATTCTCTATGGCAGGTAGAAGACTGTAAAGGCAACAAAAGACAAGATCACTTACGTCACAATGAGGTTTTTTTTCCAATCAATCACTTATGGCACAATTAATTACCTGCTCAGCTATGTTTGTCCCACCAACAACAATAGCAGTTCTGAAGGACTCCAGAGATCTGCTGAAAGCCTTAACCTGGAAAGAATAACAACTGTGGTTTTCATTGAGATTAAGTGGATAGATACTCCTAGTCCTGAGAATACCACCTTTGGTAAGATTATCACTGGGGAATGAGCACTTTTCAGCAATAAACTATATAGTATATACCATGCAAACACCAAAACTTCCTGAGATATCCTTAACATTTTTCTTCTTTAATCAGCAACAAAGTGAACTTTATTGACATAAAGGTGCAAGTGTTCAACAGTGCATAGACTTAACAAAACCTTCCTCTTGATCCTAAGCAAAAAGTAAAGAGGGAAAAAAACAGGAAAACCCCAGCATGATACATACAAGTTAGAGAGACCCTTTGTCCACAGCACTATGATTTTTTTATTAATAAAGGAATATTTTATTAAATTCAAAAGTATTACATCCAGTGGTTTAAAAGGCGCACCTAGGCGCATTTTAGGGTATGTGCCTTGTCTAGGTACTAGGCGCAGCCCTTTCAAAAGGCACATGCCTAGGCGCCCAGGCGTGCACCTTTCACCTCAGCCCAGTCATGCGCATTTTGAAAATTTCAAACTTTTTTGCTTTTTTTTAACTTTGCTCACTCACCGAAGCTCCAAAAACCCTATATTTGCTAATGCTGTTCATTCATCCATTCTAATAAAATATCTTCTTAAAAGGCAATTAAAGTTATAAAATCATTGTCTTTTATATGAGAATTAAGAATTTAAGACCCTAACATGGACTTGTTTGGGATTGCCTCGAGGGGCGTGGTACAAAGGCAGCTCGTAGAATCAGGAATGCAATATGTTTTATATCACTTTAGCTACTTGAAGAAATGCAATTGCAGAAAAAAAGATATTTTGGGTTTTACGTGCTTGAAAATGCTTTATATGTTTGATTTTATTTTTAAATTTTCATTTGAATACTCTTTACATGTTACGTTTATGTATTTTAATTTTAGATAATAGGTTATAAAACATTTCTTTTAAAATTTAAGTTTATATTTATATTAATATTATGTTTAATATTTTTTTGCATTTTTTGGATTTTCTGACTTCTTATTTTTTAGCATTTTTTTGTATTTTTGCGCCTTTCTTCAAAAAAGCACGAGCCTCGCCTTGCACCTTGCGCCTCAGACGCAAATTGACCTTGCGCTTTTAAAACACAGATTACATCAAGATGGGAAAGTTCTCCACCAAACAAACAACTTTATAGTTTTCCCCAAAATATGTTTATCCAAAGTATCTACCATCCCATTTACTGTTCTACTCACCCATCTAAATACAACATCCAATTCCCTTGCTAAACTTTCTATTTCCCAGATTGTGTGCCTATAAAACCATGGGATTTAGGCACTACTTCTTGTCAATGAAATGACCACTTGTGAATCCCCTTCCACCTCCAGGTTATGAAACCTAAATTGGTTAGCATATTTTAAACCCTGGAGTAGACCAAACAGCTCTGCTGTCGATGCATCACCATTTGCCAAGGGTCCTGGAGTAGACCAGCACATTTCCTTCTGAGTCTCAGAAAACCCCTCCCATCCCAGCCTCTGCCTGATTACCAATATAGCTCCCATCAACATTAAGTTTTACAAAGTTAGTTGCCGGAGGTCTCCATTCCATAATTACTCTTTCCTTGTATTGAGCCAACAGTGCTACTTCCTTCCAATTTCTCAAAATATCATTTAGTGAGAAATTTGGAAGTCCTCCATGGTCTTCACCCAATGTGCAACTTTTATTTTTATTTTTTACTATGTCCAGGATTTCCATTTCTGTCATACTCTTTTCATTGAAGATCCTCCCATTTCTTTCTTCTCAAACAGTCCATATCATGGCAGCTCTCACTGCTTTCCACAACAACCTTCCTCTTTTCTTTGGATGTCTCAAAAAGTTTGGATCAAAGATTGGCACTTATTTGGGCCATTTGACCTTCTTTTCTACAGCATGTAATTGGTGTTAATCTTTCAAAAGAAAATTTCCCAGCCAAAGGCCTGAATTTTGGGAGGGATTGGCTTACTCAACTTCTTTCACTGGAAATGACACCCTCAAGGTAGATGGATGAATTAGGAACCTAAAGAAGGAAGCACATGTAAGAAAAGTCATCTGGAGAAATGGACCAAATTGTGTTTTTTTTTTTTTTTGATGAATGAATGGACCAAATTGTGTTGTCCTCTACATTTTGAACCAAAAAGACAAAATCAAGTCTGGCCAAAAGAAGGATGAGAGATTCACACTCCTTTTCCATAAGACCCCTTCTAAAACCAAAATCCCAATACCCCCCAAAGTAGCAGTGTTCTGTTGGGAAGCCTATTATGGTAAGATCAATACTGTAGAAAACTTGCAAAAGAAGAAACCTTTTTTTGTGTTTGTCCCCAAATCGGTGCTTTATGTGTAAAGTGAAGGGTGAGGACTGTAACCATTTGCTGATATCGTGCTCCTTTGCTGCCAATATTTGGAATTGGGTTGTTTCTTTATTTGGGTGCAGGTGGAACTTGCCCTCTGAAGTAAAGCTGCTGTTCACTCCAGATGCTCTTGGGAGATTGACAAAAAGGGGGAAGATAATGTGGAAATGTGTTAGAGCCGCCACCTTGTGGATCTTATGGGAGGAGAGAAATGCTAGAATATTTCAAGAAAAGGAAAGAAGTCTTGCTGAAGTCAAGGAATGTATATCGACAAAGACAATTTCATGGCTGAAATCTTCACAATTGTTGGCAGATTTCTCCTTTTATGACTTCAGGAGAAATTGGGACGCAGTGGCTTCTACAGTTTCCACCAAGAACAAATTACAAGTTGAATGGAAACCCACACCAAATGAAGTGGTAAAATTGAACTTTGATGGTAGCTGCCAAGGTAACCCAGGGCCATTCGGAATTGGAGGGATTCTGAGAGACAAAGACAGCAATATGTTGTCTCTTTTCTCAGGACCATTGGGTGAAGGTGATTCTGTAAGGGCAGAGCTACTAGCAGCGGTACAAGGTATACAGATGGCTAGTCAATTAGGAGTGAGCAATTTGTTAGTAGAAGGAGACTCCAAGGTAGTAGTGGGCTGGCTGAATAGCCCAGACACAGTTTGTTGGAGCTACAGGGATCTGGTAAAGAAAGTTAAATGGATGACAAGAAATATGACTGTTAGGTTCCAGTGGGTTAGCAGATCAGCAAATGTAATGGCTGATTCTCTGGCCAAGCAAGGCGTGTCAAGGGGTGATTTGTTTTGGGCTAATTTGTAATTTGTTTCTCAGGTTTGGGCATGTTTTAGTGCTTATGATTCAGTCCTTGGGGGAGGTAACATCTCGTGCCTCTTCCTAGGCTGTATGTATTTTTTATACTCTTTCAATAAAATTACTCTCATTTATCAAAAAAAAAGAAAGAAATTCACAAACTTAGAAATGGGTTCACATTTGTAATTGGAGAGGGCGTAAAGCACAGGAAATTGAACCTTTAGTGGTTGAATACCTATCCAAAGGTCCTCCCAAAACAAGGACTCAAACCAATGCCCACATTATACTGAATAAGGTTAGCAAAGAGAGGATATACTCATATACCTCATAGATTGCTTTTCAAGGAGAGAGAATTTGCATTGGGGGTTACCTTTGCATCCTGGCCATTGCCCAACCGACTGTGTATGCTTTCAATACCTTGTACCAGAGCCTATCTCTTTCTAGGAGAAACTTCCACAGCCACCTCCCTAGGAGAGATAAATTCTTCTGGACTAAATTACCTAACCCAAGCCCACCCTTCTCTTTAGGTCTACAAACCTGCTGTTCAAATTTCACCAAGTGATCTTTCTTTCCAACCCACGGTTCCCACAAGAAATCCCACGTTAGCCTAGCAATTTTAAGAGGAATATTGAAGGTGGACAAAAAATATATGGAAAGGTTGGTTAAGGTGGCTTTGATCAAGGTTATCCTCCCTCCCAAAGAAATGTAACTTCTCTTCCAAAATGCCAATTTTTTAGCAAATCTCTCCAATGCAAGCTTCCAAAAGCTCTCAGAACTTAGGTTTCCACCCAGGGGAAGTCCCAAGTACTCCAAGGGCCAAATCTTAACTTCGCATCCTAATAACTCCACTATTCTAAGGACTTCCTCTTCTTGCAAATTCATTCCCACCAAATAGCTTTTCCCCAAATTGATCTTTAAATTAGAAAGTTTGTCAAAGGATCTTACCAAAGCTTTTACATTTCTAAGTGACTCAGGACTAATGTCATCACAAAACAGGATTATGTCATCTGCAAATTGCAAATGGGTAACTACAATATCAGCCCTTCCCACCCTCCAACCTCTAATTATATTATTCAAATCCGCCTTTGTGATCATTCTGCTTAAGACCTCCATAATCAAGGTGAAAAGGAAAAGGGATAAAAGGTCACCCTGTCTCAAGCCTCTTTTAGTTAGAAAAATAAATAAAAAAACCTCTAGCAGACACATTGATCAGAATTGAATATTGCATCAAGCTCAAACATCCCTTGATTCATAAGCCCATCTTCCCCCAACCCAACTTTCTCCATAACCTCAAGAAGGAAAAACCAATCCACCAAATCATAAGCCTTTTCTAGGTCCAATTTACAAATAACCTCCCCCCCCCCCTTTCTTCTTCTCTGCTACACATTCATTAGCCACTACAATCTAGTCAACAATTTTTCTACCTTCACAAAAAGCTCCTTGAGATTGTGAGGTTACTGTGGGTAAAACCTTCTTCAGTCTGCTTGAAAGAACTTCTACTATTATTTTATATAGGCTACCAGCCTACCCACCAAACTAATGGCCTGAAATCCCTTGGAGTTTTGGCTTCCTTTTTCTTAGGCACTAGGCCTAGGGCAATGAAGGTAGAGTTTGTTCTGGATGAGACCTCCTCTTTCTGGTGAAACTCATCAAAAACCTCTTTTAGATCCTTTTTTTTCCAAAAACCCCCAGCAGTCTTGAAAGGAAGCCATAGAAAAACCATCCGGCCCCAAATCCCGATGCTTTTGATCTTTCCATGGAGAAGACAGCCTCTGTAATTTCCTCAATAATAAAAGCATCCTCCATGGCATTAGATTGACTACTTATCACCCTATCCCACTGCAATGATGCTACAACATTATGAATTTCAAAAAACAATTTACCCCAGGATTGGCCCCATCAATCTTGAAAGCCTCTGTAGCTGTGTTCTAGCATTCTACACTCTACAATTACAGAAACTAACTGCTCCAAAATAACGCCAGACTACAATAAAACAAAACAAGAGAACATATAGTTTCTAGACAAGTTGTTGAAAATTAAATAAGCCTAAAGATAATTGCATGTGACTGTATGATGATAATTGATGTCCCACTACTCTATCCGTTTTTTTTTTTTTTTTATAGATGTCCCACTAATCTATCCTGAATACATTGTTTTCAGCTAATGATATAAACATAATTGATAACCAATATCTGCCTTTATCAACCCTCCATTTCCTCAAAGTTCATGAGAAAAGCTTCAAGTTCACAATGTTATTTTGATCAGAGAGATGCAAGCATAAGATATTTCATCTAAAGTTGGCTCTTGAGATAGGCTGGATCATCTGACCCTAATATCCACTTTTTTTTTATAAATGACCTAATATCCACTTGTTTAATGACCGGCAGTCAACCAATTCTTATCAAGGAGGTGATCAAGTTTACCATTTGAAAAAATCAAGTAGGAAAGGAACTATGAAGGAAAATGTATAGATGTTTTCATGAAGTCAAATATGATTAAATAAAAACAATAAGATTGTGTTCGTCTTTTCAAACATTGAAAGTCAAAAGTGTTTTTTCATGAATACACTTTTGATATAAAATTTATATAGCAAAAGTTTGGCTGGAATAAATTATCATCAATATCAAACCCTTAAACAATGCATAAACACTTCAATAGGAAGTTTTATCCGTGCCATTTAGTTTCCTAAAAAAATATCTTTTCTAAAGCAGCTAAACAGTAACAAATTGTTATAGGCAGAATAACAGTTTTGACAATAAAATTTATATAGCAACAGTCAAAGTGTTTTTCATGAACACACTTTTGACATGAGTTTATGTAGCAAAACTTTGGCTAGAACATGAATTACCATCAATATCAAAACCTTAACTAACTGGGCATAAACATCTTCAATAGGAAGTTTTATATGTGCCATTTGATTCCCTAAAAAATGCCTTTTTTAAAGCAGGTAAACAGTAACAAATTGTTATAGGCAGAACAAAAATTGTCATGCTTTTGTTTAGGGGAAAAAACATTGCCAAACCAAATATCTGTTAAAGAGCACTTATATACCAAAATTAACAAAAATGAATCCAGGCTCAAACCCAGAAAGTATTTGGTTGATTTAATAGCAATGCCTCCATGAAATTGTAGATTGAATTAGATCAACTGTTACCTAAATTTTGTTACCACTAAGACATAGCCAAAATAATTACAGTCATCATCAATCTTATCAACCAGGAAAAAAAATTCTCTCACCTCTTTCTCTATTTGTTGAGCAAGTTCACGAGTAGGAGCTAAGACTAATGCTAAAGGTCCATCACCACGCCGAATAGGTGGTTGAGCCAAGCAATGCTGTGAATTGAAATATAAAAAGGAAAAAGAAAAAACATAAAGAATAATGACAGTGACAGTCTTGAGCTTAGATATTTAGATGCTATTTCATGACAGGATAGTAAGATTAAGGGGAAAAAACATTTTCTGAAGTATGTCATGACCATGGACACCTGAATCATAGGAATAGTGAAGGCAGCAGTTTTCCCACTCCCAGTCTCAGCACAACCTAGAAGATCCCTTCCGCTAAGAGCTACTGGCATGGCTTGTGCCTGAATGGAAGTTGGCCTCGTGTACTCATGAAAAGCGATATCCTTCATAATACTTGAGTGCAAACACTGAAAGAAAATGGATATTATTATCCAAAACACTGGCAACAACAAATTATCGAAATTATAACTGTGGTTTAATGAATCGCACCATATCTGTAAATGATTCAATGGGTGCAGGTGCAGGAGGGGAGTCTGAAGCAACAGTAACATCAACATTTAACCGCAGGCGAACTTCTTCAATCTGTAGAAGCACAAGCCAGATCAACATTGCAATGCCCAGCATGAGAAAGACATTTGAATGTTATCCTTAGAAAATGTAATTGATCAACTAGTAAATGCAAAAAAAAAAAGGCTTTACTAAAGATGACTAAACATTTTTTGAAAACCAAGTATAATCAAATTCATAAGCATCCCATAGAAGTAGCGAATTATATTGTTATAGTTGATCTTAGATGGCATATTCAGAGAATAAGTTGTAACAGATTGATTGAATTTGGGATCATCCTTTCCTTACTACTTAGATATTACACTGCCTGAGCTGAATACTATTATCAAGCTAAACTCGAAGCATTGTATAACTGGCAATTATGATTTCCAGCATAGGTTTAAATAGTTTTGTATTTCACATTTTCCTTTTTCAGGCCTGCAGGGTGTAGTCTATTGCATCAATTGATAGAAACAAGTCCGTGCACAGATGACAAATAAAAAATATAGTGCATTGATGTGCCAGCCTGTCTTTGATAAGCAAGGGTATAGAAATTTGGCCATCGCATATATTATTGCGATCAAATTAAAATTCAGTCAACAACAAATTAGAGTAAAATTATCAACTCTAATATCATAATCGCCTTAAATGGTATTATCCAAAATAATAGATGATGAGCAAGAATGAAGTAAAGGTTCAAAAAGTTTTCGAAATATCATAAGACGATACCCAGCCACAACCTAACCGAAAAACAGAACCCCAAGCTCACTTAGAATGCAGGAAAGAAAATCCAGGACTATGTAATGCGATAAGACGAAATGTGTCAAAATAATACCAAAAACGAGCTAAAAAATAATTACAACCAGAACTGAAATGCTGGAGGTATAGCAGAAAACCAAGCTCTGCTCATCAAATATATATATATTATATATAAATATGTACAACAATAATTGGCTCATCAAAAACTGATTACAAAGGCATCCCGAACATAATCCACGAAACTCAAAGCTTAAAAACATCGAACCTGCTCGGGTTTCAGACGGAAAACCCGCTCCGACGGCTTCCACTGCTGAAAAACAGGTTCCGGGACAGCAAGAGCTCTGGAAAGCGGTAGGTTACCGGAAGTGCGGCGAGCGCCATTGGAAAAACTAGGGGGAGCAGAGGAAGAGTTCTTTAAAGAGTAATGAGGGTTTGAAGAATAGAACTTATGATCATATTCTAGGGTTTCTGATGAGGTTTTGGTGGTTGTAGAGTTTCGAGTTGCAGTAGGGAGACAGTGAGAAGACGGAGTCGATGATGTCCGGAGGTGTGGAGGGACATAAGACATTTTCTTTTTTTTTTTCCCTTTTCCCCCCCTCTCAGGTTGTTTTTCTCCTCTCTTGGCTTTTTAAACGAGCCCGACGGGAGAGAATGCAGAAACGAGAATTTCTAAAGAGCAAACGAAACGAAGAAGAAGCGTGAGTGAGTCTTCAAGCAGGCCTCTCCTCATCCTCCAAATTGTGTATATAATCATCATCTGCAGCACTTCTTGTATACAATTATACAATCGTTTGGCTGAGACGCTCTCTCTGTTCTTTCCTTGCTTCTGAAGTGAAGATTTTATGTTAATGTAAACCGAGTTCTATCGGTTGCTAATTTGCTTCACATTCAGTTGCTGATATACCATCGGATTAGAATATTTCTTTCTACAATAATGTATGAATCTGTGATGATTTTGGTGTACCATCACAAAATTTAACCCTGGCCTTTGGGCGCAAGCGCAACCTGTAGGAGACAACGAACTGGGCCTGGCTTTGTGGCCCGGCTAATATTGGACCGTTCCATCCTTGTTATCAGTTTCCTTTAGGCTTACTTGGTTCGTAATGATTGTCCAGCTGACCTGTGTGCTTATGTAAAAAGAGAGAGAGAGAGATGCAGCCTCAAAACGGACAATTGTACACCAACATAAATTGATGGAGTGACAAAGATCGATAGTGAACTGGGTACCAAGGTGCATTGCTCAGCAAAAAAGAAATGTATTTTATTCAATAGACTCGGTATGGGCAACTTCTTTTAGGATTGGTTTGTGCTATTACGGGCTTTGCTAACTGCCATGCGGCCCATGCCCATTTCTCGTATCTGGTGGTTGGATCAAAGATCGGGTTTTATCCATGGTTTTATAACTGTCATTATCGTGGATGGTCAAACCATTTAGCCCAGAAACTGGTTAGGGTACTGATTCTGTTTTGACTCTAAACTGCTGTTTTACCCAAAATCATTGAATTGGTCAGTGGCCCATTAATCTAGGATGGTTGAACTATTGATGATTTGACCCAAACAATGATTTTAGGTTATTTTTATGTTAATTATTATTTTTTTAGTTTTTTTATTTTTTAAATTTGTTATGAGTCAATCCATTGTTGACCATCCAATCCAGAAACTGATGAACAAAATGGTTTCAGTTCCAGATGGGTTTTTAAAACACTGATTTCATCTATGTTTAAGCGGTTAATGATACTGGAAGAATTTTAAAGCAGTCAAAATTCCCCTTTACATTGATTTTTTATGAATACCAATTACTTGGTTATCCCTTTCATGATACCAGATGATTGCTTATCAGCTTTTCATATATAAAACCTTTTCTCTATCATATTTGGGTCTTTAAACAATACCATTGTTTAAGGAACCAGGGGTAGAGGGACTTCGTTGTATACGGGGCTTGGTGCATGGTCATGCTCTTTGTATAATGAGGCCTAGTCAAGCTTTTATTTAGTGCGTCTGCATCAACCCCCGGCTACTAGCTAAAGTCATTCTAATACAATGGTATATTTTTTTCCGGAGAGAGAGTAAAAAAGAAGAATGTTTAAGATTATATTTGTAATTAAAACTTACCCTCTCTCTTTCCTTATAGTTAAAACTTATCTCTCTTTTCTGTTTTTTTTTTATATAAGTAGAGCCCCTTTGGGAGAATTTTAGATTTGATGAAGCTGTATTGGCATTGATACATGTTAAACAAATTATTAAAACTTCCATCAACAAAATATATATTAAAACTAGTTTCACCTGAAAGTTGATTTATTGGCTGAATTGAAGTGCATTGGGGCTTTTCTTAACTTATAGGCTTTCTATATGGGTTCTATCTTGTAAAGCCAGAATAAGCTGCATGAAATCCCTCTCAAATGATCAACCAGAGCTCATTTGAGAGGGCATCAACATTGATTGAACCACTTTGAAGAAATTATCAAAACTAGTTTTACTAGAAAGGCAGAAAGATTGGTTTCCCAGCTCAAGACAAAGCCTTTTTTTGGCTTTCCAGGTCTTTCACCAACACACAACTTCAGAACTTTTCACGTGGGGCTTACTTTGCAACACCAAAGCTGTTGCATGAAAGCCCTTCCAAATGGGCATTATTAAGCCATGGAGCTAATTACGGGGCTTTGATGAACATATACATACCAAGGCCAAAACAAGCACTGCAACGTGGCAACCAAAACCGCCTCACCGCAAATCAAACTCCGACAACGACAAACATATACACTGCAACTAAATTCCGGCAAACATAGAACACATCTAAGCCTGAATCTGAGCCCGGCCCTCATATAATACGAGCTTAAAGTCCAGCCAAGAAATTGAGGAAAGAGACTTTTTTTCTCAACAACAAAACCAATTTATTCATATTATATGACTTCAAAACCCAGAAATACTGAAGAACGGGCCTAATGTTTTGAGCCTGAGCCCGCATGCCTAAATTTATGTTCAAGTTTAATTAAGAGCGGGCTCACGATACCCAGTGCATATTGGTTTTAAACCAATTGTATCACATTTTTATTTTGCAAATTTGCATCTTATATCGACCAAGGCCCGACAATATTTGTATCGATTACTAGGGCTGTTCATAAGAAGACCCAATCCAACCAAACCGACCTAAACTGAGTCGGCCAGGTTTTCTTCAATACCGTTCGGTTTCGGGTTGTAAAAAATCATAATCCAATGGTTTGAGTCGGTTTCGGTTTTCATGTGTGAAAACCAAAACTGAACCGATTTAGTAGTTAGTTCCTAGTTAGTAGTTACAACCTACTTAATTCCTACTTAATTAAGTTGTCTCTATCATATTTACAATCTAAATTAATTTATAGTCTTCCAGTTAGGAATGACATTAATGGTAAATATTGTAAGACAAGTAGACAATTTTTTTTTTTAAAAAGTTTAAAGAAAATAATCAAAGGATCCTAGTTTCTATGGTCTTTTACACCAAATAGGCAACCAATTACAAYTAGAATTAGGTGTCTTTTTTTACTTAGATTAGAAGGTTTCTTGAAATATACAAATTTCATTATTCTTTCTCTAATACAATTTGACTTTCTATTTTCTTGATACATAAACTCAATTTTTTATGTGCTTCACAAAGTTATTGGCCTGTTTTCTCTTAATTTATGTGCTTTCCTTGTCGGATGATGTTGCTAGCTACTTCTCTGACGCTTAATCTACAAATTTATTACCATGATTGAACTTAGAGCCGAAACCAAACCAACTAAGTCGGTTTTGCTTAACATAGAGTCGGTTTCAGTTTCAATTTCAGGTAATCCGACCAAATCGGATCGATTGGAAAAATCTCAATAAACCAACCCAACCCGACCCATAAACAGCACTATCGATTACATTTGAGCCTGCTCAGGAAAGTGTCTCCCAGGAGAAACCTCTTTGGTATATATATAGGTTGGGTAATCCCTTACCTTATATAGGTTGTTAAATTGCGTTTGAAAAATTCAAGTTCCTCTAAAATTCTACCTTTTCCTCTCATCGGTGCTTAGCTTTAAATTGCCTACCAAGAAATTACTCATTAACAGGGGATATGATATCGATAGCACTTGTGAAACTTATTGAGGATAAATCTTCGTTGTCTATCCTGCAAGCAAGCCTAATGGATGGTGTTCAGAAAAACTTTGGGTGTTCGGTAAAAAAACAAAAAAGAGCTCGGGCCTGTTTGGGGGCTTCCTGAACACGATATCTGACCCCATTCGGTCCCTTGTTTGTCATTTAATTAAAAAAAAATTTGTTGCAATTACTTTTTTACCCCACATTTATTTTAAATATCATGCACATGAAGCTTTAAAATAATGCAAGTTATTTTTTCAAACAACAGTGTTTTTAACCGGTAGTTGATTCAGTTAGTCAAATTGTAATTCAGCAATGATTTTGGGTCTACTTCTCATAAAAATTGTTTTTTTTTTGTTAAAAACATATAACTCGACTTTTAAAAATGTTGACCCATTCAATCTAATCACAGGGCCATGGGCTATATAATAAATGTGATACAAATTTTTGAAGACTATAACTTTACACTTGGGCGTCAGAATTAGGGTAATCTTTTTTTACACACAAACTTTAGGCAGTCATGATCTTAGACCCACAAAAACCCTACTCACACGTACCCATTACTCCATGAGACACCATGGCTGCACATCAGTAACATGTGCTGCCCTATGGGTAGGTGTGGGAGTTCTCTCAAAGAATGACAGTATACAAATATGGAGATGTTCCCGGTGTGCATACCTATGGTGCCGCGTGGGCAGGGAAATCCTTCAGTGCTCACAAGGCTGTTCTTACACCATTCGCACGGCCCTGCATTGGGAATATCTCCCCATGAAAAAAACAAACAAATGATTGCAGATCTCAATGCATGGTGTAAAAAGCTATGCAAACAGTTTTGTGAGCACCGAAGCTGATCTCGTGGGTAGGTATGCCTAAAATTAAGTTTTTGTAGGTAGTAAAACCACAAGGACGAGCTGTTCCTGCCATGCATGGCTGTTGTGTCCTAGTGGTAGGTATAAAGTTTTGGGTAGGAGATCTGAAGACAAACTTTGAGATGAGGCAGTGAAATTTGCATTGGCTCCTCACAGAGCACGCCCCAACAACATTCCAATCCTGGAATATCTATCCATGACAAATACCGGAGATATTCCCCATACACGTTGAGATTTATTGTGGGGATATTGAACTGATATGTTCTTTCCATTTCAATAATTATAGACAAACAATAAAAATTTGAAAATACATGGAAAGAAGAAACTCTTCCTTAGAAACCTTCGTCTCCTATTTTTTATTGATTTATTTCGTTTCAGGCATTCGGTTCTCCGTGGTGGTATAGGGTGCTTAGGCATGCAGCTTTGCGTTGATTTGTTTCAGGCATGTGTCAATTCGTTGGACTGATGGAAAAAAGCTTTGAAGGAAAGAAAAAAGAAACCCTCTCCTTAAAAAGACAAAACCCTTTACCCTTTATATTTTATTGGGTAAATTACAAAGATCACCCTGTATTATGGGGTCTGTGAGAAAGACCCATGTACTTTATTTTGCAACAAAGATCCCCTTGTACTATGATCGTGAGACAAAGACCCCATTCCGTTAACTTTTTGTTGAAATCCGTTGTTGCAATATTTTTCAATCCTCATATTACCCTTATAATAAGAAAAATATTGTTCATCTTCCCTAACCTTACGATACACAAACAGTAGCGATGATAAGGGGAGAGAAAAGGAGATCGAGGATTACCATTGTTGTTGTTCTCTACCTCTGCAAATGGGGTTCCACCAGGA